GCTACTGATGCTCTCATTTCCTTGCACCTGGATCAGAAGAGCTACAGCTGGAGGAAGAGGATGGGAGGAGAACAGGAGGAGGACAGGATGGGGGTGGAGGGCAGGAGAAGTCAGAGGTGTTGGAAGAAGGGGGGAAGGAGGAGGGGAAGGAGGAGCACAGGGAATGTCCACCCTGTCTCAGGTGCAGTTGGCTCCGAAGAAGCCAGAAAACAAGCCTGGTTAAGTTTGAGAACTCATCTGCTGGTGGAAAAGAGTGAGCAAATGTTGCTAGTGAGAACTCTCGAAGAGTATCTCTCATGCAAAAAGCCATGATTAGTCAGCAGAGTTTTTGGTAAAAGGTCATGGGAAAGAAGTGACTAGCGTTTGGTTCTCCATCTGCACCATGCGTCAGAATCACCGGGACTCCGGTCCCACACAAACCCCCAGGGCTGTGGGGCGCCAGGGTTGGGCCCCGGAGCCTGCGTTTTGACCAGCCACCATGAGAGGTTGATGCCACTGGTCTAGAGACCACACTTTGACTCAGAAGTTCTACATCAGTACCAGAGGCTTAGTTAGCCGACCTGCTTGGACCGCTCTGAGAGGTGGGCAGCGGGCTTCACCATTCATCCTTTAAACGCTGAACAAAAAGCAGGCCCCATACAACTGAAGACTTTCTCATTAAAAATAGACTTCAGGCTTGTATCCAACCCAAGTGAGCACTTTATTTACTAAAGTTATTTTTGCTTCTTGCAAATTATTTTTAAAGGACAAAAAAAATACAATGACAATTTTTTAAAGTGCTACCTCAGTCTTGAAGTATAAGGTTGACTTTTATTTGAGAAAAGTCACGTCAATGCAAAGTAAAACAAATCAAACTGAGCCAAAGATATAAACAACTTCATAATAACTTAAGAGTGGAGGAACAGAGGAAATCAAAATAAAACACTATAACTCAACATCCAGTGGATCCCCACTGAACTCATCTCCATGCATAAAAATGCTATTTATCAAAAGCTCTTGAAGTTGAAGCTGGGTAAGATTAACACCATCATGCATTTCTGTAAAAAACAAACTTCATTCTTCCCCTTTATCTCTGAGGCCCCAGTGAGTTGAATGGAAACATCCTAAGGAAGAAAGGAACCTGGGAAGGTAAAGCCCAGACTGGCAGGAAGGCAGAGGTATTTGTTTTGCAAGAACTGTTTTGTCACCAAAGATGGTGGCACGGCTATTCACGATGCAGCTGGATAGGCAGAGGGGCCCCACGTGAGGAAACGGTATGTAATTAAAGTGTAGTCTGAAGGGCAAACATCAACCTTCAATGTTTAAATAAAAGTAAGATTTAAACTTGCCTGTAAGTGATTCTAGAAACAGTCACAACAAACCAAAATATTTGAAAGTCCTTTTCTGACTTTGTGGAAGAACAAAACGGCGAGTCCTTCAGCCGTGTCCATTTTCTTCCTTCTCTTCTAGGCAAGCCCCCAGAAAAGTTCAAGAATGGAATACTTTATACCAGTAAGTGCAAAAAAAATAGGAAGATTGGATGACTCGGGATATGTTGGTAACTTAAGACCAAAAAGATGAGGCTACTTAAGGCTGACGGCAATAAAATGGCCCCTAACATGTATTCGGAGTTACCGCGTGCCAGGCACTGCAGAAGGTGTCCTGCCCACCTTGCCTCATGTCATGCAGTGTCCCTTTCATGGAGGCCCCACGACTGCCCTTACTGTGTGATGACATCAGGGAGGTGACGACACAGGATGTTCGGTTCGCAACAGCACAGTCACCCAACCAAAGTACTTAACCTTAACCCTAGCTCTGAGAATACAGTTTGTGCTTTCCATAGGACAAGGGGCTGCAGGATTCTGCACAGACTTTTAAAATATTCCTAATTAAAGAGGTAATCACTTTATTCATATTAGCTGTATATTAAATATATTAAAAAACATATAGCCCGGTTTCCAAATATACTGGAAGCCATTGTAAAGACAGTGATGAGAACAGAAGACTGTATTAAGACTGATGCATCCTGACTGCCGTTAATGGTGACCCTCGGTACCAGGTACTACACCCGATATCTGACCCATGCCACTTACCGCAGTCAGAAGTCAAGTGTGACTTTTCTATCTTGGTCTACTGATGTCATAAGTAAGAGCCTGTGGTTCAGGTCTAGACTGTCTGCTTCGAATTTTGGTTCTGCACCTTACTATTTATATGACCTTGGGTACCCAGTATTGCTGTGCCCCAGTTTCTCACTTGTAAAGTGGAGCCAGAAAAGCAGTATTACCAATTTCCTAAAGGAATTCAGAGAACTAAAAGGATTCATGTAAAAAACCTCAGTTCAATAAAAGTTAGCATTTATATCATTTCTCACATTGCTATGAAATATTTATATAATCCTCAGTGTCTCATCCATTACACAGTTTCCTTTTCTCTAGAATAATTTACTCCCCCAGTAAGAGGATCCTTTTAGCAAATTTGCAGTAAAGTGCAGCAGAAGATGAGGGAAACAAGAGATGGAAAAAATATAGCAAATAGCAAAAGTCAAATTTTAATTTTAAAAAATTGTACAGTTGACTACTTCCGACATTTGGAAGAACTGGAGAGTAAGAAGAAGGGAGGGCAGGAAAAAAACCCACAGAGACACGCCCAGCCTCGCCTGGCGCAGCGTCTTCAACCGCTAAGCCGGAGGTGCCTGGCTACTACTGACAGCGGCTCAGCCTTCGCTCCACCTAACCTGAGCTCTGAGAGCCCGAACAAAACTAAGATCAAGGGCTCACGGGCAAGAGGAGGGTGGACAAAGATTCCCTCTGCCACAGTTTGCTCCCCACCTGGGCTCCAGGGCCCACTCCGCACTGAGCTTTCTCTCTGCCTCTGAGTCTCTTTCACAGGTTGTGGAAACTGTGAAGACAGACACACTTCACAGTCCATGAATCACAAAACCCAAAGGGCCACCAGGCCGCCATCATCTGAGGCTGGGGCTTCCTCTCCCCAGTCACCATGACCTTCAGCTTCGGGCTTTTCACTGACTTAAAGCAGCTGTGATGCTTCATGGGAAGGCTAAAAATTCTGATCACAAGTGTTCAAAACTTTAAAATCAATGGTTTTTAAAATTTAAATATTTTATTGCTTATGCTATTACAGTTATCCCAATTTTCCCCTTTTTGTCCCCATCCATCCAGCCCGCCCCCCACTCCCACAGTCAGCCCCCCACTGTTGTCCGTGTCCATGGGTCATTCCCAGATGTTCTTTGACTAGTCCCTCCACCCTCCCCTAGTACAGCGCTCAGTCTGTTTCATGTTTCTATGCCTCTGGTTCTATTTTGCTTATTAGTTTATTCTGTTCATTAGATTCCACTTTTAAGTGAGATCATATGGCTTATGATCTGGCTTATTTCACTTAGTATAGCTCTCCAGTTCTATCCATGTTGTTTCAAAAGGTAAGAATTCCTTTCCTTTCTTTTTTTTTTTTTTTTACTGCTGCATAGTATTTCTTTGCATAAATGTACCAGTTTTTTTATCCACCCATTTACTGAGGGGCACTTGGCTATTGTAAATAATGCTGCCATGAACACTAGGGTGCATGGGTTCTTTTGAATTGGTGTTTTGGGATTCTTAGGATATAATCCCAGCAGTGGAACTGCTGGGTCAAAGGTAGTTCCATTTTTAATTTTTTTGAGGAAACTCCATACTGTTTTCCACAGAGGCTGCACCAGGTCTGCATTCCCTTCAACAATGAACTAGGGTTCCCTTTTCTCCGCATCCTCTCCAACACTTGTTGTTTGTTGATTCATTAATGATGGCCATTCTGACAGGTGTGAAGTGGTATCTCATTGTGGTTTTATTTTGCATCTCTGATGGCTAGTGATGTTGAGCATTTTTTCATATGTCTCTGGGCCAAGATCAATGTTTTGAAGGATGCAGCGATGCCAACGTAGCCATGTAATGGTAAGAATCATTCAGAAAACTTTTTATTTATAGCACTGAAGTGCACAGCATATAATCACCTATGGCTATTTAAATCTAAGTAAAACTACCTTAAAAGCCTAGTTTGAGAAATTCATAAGGATTTGCCCCCATTTTGGAAGAGCATTTTTCTACTATAACATGACATGCCAATTTAGAGAAATGTTATCTTTTGATCAGAGAGGAAGATTTTTGTCAGGTGTGGCCAATAACTGAAACTTAATATAAAGGACATTAACAAGAGTTTTGAAAAACACATGCGCTGGCTCCAGACCCCCCACAGCAGCGGGCACATTCAGGACCCGCCGTGGGAGGCGCGCCTCACAGAGAGACAGGAAGAATCCTCTCTACCAACGCACACCCAGGAATACTGAGTTCAAGTGTTACCACAGTTCATCAACAGTGAAACGTGTGCAAATAAGAATAGTGCACATAAATGTTTATTTAGCCCTTAAAACTACAGAACCTTTAACCCTGCCCCCCCAAACCCCAAACTCCTGTAAAAAAGAACAAAAGCCATCAGAATCAGAAAAAAAGTAATTCTGAAAAGAAAATTACCTTTGGTTTTTAGCATCTAAAAAAAAAAAAGTGAAGCCTCTAGCTGCTGGATTCACCAGTCGGACAGTTTCCAGGGGCTGACGTTTGTGCTCTCACCACATCTAGCGCCCCCTGGCGTGTCCCCAGTGTGCAGATGTGTGGACCGTCCTGCTCGCACCCGCTCCCGCCCCCAGGCCCAGCCCAGGGAGGCACGAGGAGTTGACCCTGTTCCCAGACTCAGAAGGCACAAGGAAGCCACTGAGGTAATACAGTTGGGTAGATGGCGGAAGGAGAATTTCAGTTTTCTTTTTCTGAACTCCAAAGGCTATTGCCTTTGTACTTCCCATATCTCTTGAATATTTAAAACTAGCAAATGTGTTTCCTATCCTTTTAAGGACTCCCTAATGACCACGAGTGATGCTTTACACCGTCAGGATACAACAGGGCCAGCACCCAATAAACCAAACCGTCAGATGGCAGCGCACCTGGCCTGCTGGATGCAAGCTCCCCAGGGATTCTTACCTGGTGCTCCTGTGTACATGATGGAAAAGACGTTTATTGCTATGGTGGCCGCATAGAACACTGGGAGTGCCCGGAGGCCATTGGGAACCGGGTCCTCCTGCGAGATAATGAGATAAAGCAGAAGGTCAGGATTCGAGAAGCATCTGGAGCCAACACGGGCAACGTGATACAAAACACTGTTACAAAAGTCTTCCAAACACAGACGTGGCCCAACCAGCAGGCCAGGTCACTGCCACATGACTGCTTCACAAAAACAGCTGCCAGCTCAGGCCGCCTCTCCCACACAAATGCTGCTTCAAAGAGCCCGCTGTTGTGCCCAGCAGACACTCCACTGGGCTCACATGAGCGGACGTCGGTTTTAGAAAAAGAAAAAAACTGTTAGGTCGGCTCCTGGGGACCAAAGCCCAGAGCCTGGCATGTGCTTCAAAACCTGTGACACTCGCTACTCTGAGGAAAACAATCTACTTTCAACAAATGTTCTCAGACTCGACCCTCTGAGGATGCCTGATGACAGTCAAGGGACTTGAACACCCCTGTGTGACCACAGGGTTTTACGTCACTCTAGTACACAGTACATTTTGGCTCTATCAAAATATATACCGCAAACATTATCAAGTGTTACAATTTTTAAAACCTCATAAGGTACAGTATTTAACCTTCGATTATTGAAAGTTTAAAAACTGTGGGCTCTTTATCTAATAAAACATTTATTTACAACTTTAAGGTTCTGGTACAGCATTCCCCACTACTTCAATGAGGAAGGTGCTGCATGTGTTTTAGACTAAATAACACCTAAGAGAATATGAGGAAGAGTTTTAAGCAGATCTACAGAGGATTTTGAAACAAAAATAGGGCCTGAGAACTCCAAGATGCAGCACTGGCACATAGACATTGCCTAAGCAATTAAAAATGACCAGTTTCTAACAACCACGTGAGACACTCATGCATCCATACGAATTGCTACCTTCCCAGATAAAAGGAAATTCCAACGTAAACACCGACGTGAGCAACAGGAGTGAGGACAAGTAGAAACCATCTCAAAGGCTTCTACTGTCAAAGGCAGGCATGTGTGCAAACCAGGTGGGTTTGCAGAACGGTACAACTCATCAAGAACCTATTCTGGGACGTCTCAGGCAGCCTCAGCACCTGTCAAGAGGCCTGGTTTGAACACTAGTGAGGTGTCAAGAACAGCAAGAGCAGGGGTAGGAAGTGATTCAACTGTATGGCAGTCACCCCCAGATCAGGCTGGGAGGTGAAGAACAGCAAACATGAAGAGCCAATGGGCAGGAGCTGGGAACGAGCGGCACAGCAGTCTTCTGATCTGTCAGGTCCCCCATCCCCCATGAAAAGCAGCCTGGCTGAACTGGAAACAAAACCCCGGGATGCTCAAATGCCGACTGCCTCTGGCTTCCAAAACGCTGTTTTCCTGGGGACAATGGCTGCCAAAGAAAGACTCCCAGCCAACAACTTCTGAAGGTGTGTAAGTCCTGAGTGTTTGGTTTTAATCAAATCACCTTATGTTTTCTCATATAACCTGCTGTTATAACTCAAATGGCAGCTGCCTCGTTGAGGTCTGTCTCCTTTCCCCGTCCCGCCCCTCCCCCCAACTCCCTCCCCTTCTCCCTCCCATTCTCTGCCACCTTTGCAAGCATCCACCATTTCCTCCCAACATTCAGTCAGTGTCTCTGAGGTGCTAAGCACAGTGCTGGGCACTGAAATCAATAGTGAACAAGACAGTTATGGTTTCTACTTTCACAAGCCTCATAGTAAAATAGCAAAGAGACCACTAAGCAAGAAATAAAACACAGTACGCAGCATGAGAGTGCAATGATGAGAAGGTACACAGTGCTATGGGTTTAGAAGAGGATCCAGCCAGAACCTGGGGTGGGAGAGGAAAGCCTTCCTGGGAAGCAACACCTGGAGGCAGGGGTTTGGCAGGAAAAAAAGCTTTCCAGACAGAGGAAATAAAAAGGGTGAAGGTTACCAGGCAAGAGGTGCTGACACCTTCCGCCTGTAAACTAATAGTAGTATGGCAGGAGCCCAGGAAGAGAAACGGCAAGTTTGTACTCATCCAAGGGAATGAGTCCTTCCATGGACTGCTAGGCAATGCTACGAAAGCACAGCTGCATCTTTAAGGAAGGATTCAGCCGAAGAAGGCGTGTTCCTGACGTGCTCAGCATGTGCTATAACACAAAGATCCAGGCTGCTTTCTGGTTTATAAAATACGGCAACAACCCCTTGACAGTCAAAAAAATACAATCAGCTTTTTTCCTAGAATACTAATGTCAGGAAGTTTTAGTTTTAATCTCATTTTATTTTTGATGAACTACACCTCCAATAGGTATATTTCTTTCTTTTTATCCTTTTAAGGACAGGAAAAAGTCAGTGTCTCAAACTCACTTTCTCCATTAAAAGGAAAGAAAGAAGGAAAAGGGGGGAAAAAGGAAAGGAAAGGAAAGGAAAGGAAAGGAAAGGAAAGGAAAGGAAAGGAAAGGAAAGGAAAGGAAAGGAAAGGAAAGGAAAGGAAAGGAAAGGAAAGGAAAGGAAAGGACACTTTACTTTTGGGTAAAGGAATTCTCCAGCTGTTTTTAGTAACAGTGTCAAAATCTAATTAACAGCCAGGAACTAATTACTTTCCCCTTTTGAGGTCCAAGCACAATGCCTGGGAGTGTCAACTAATTAACTCAGTCCTAAAGCCAGAGGCGGGATTTACAACGCTGCCTCCAGGGGTCCCTTGGGTACTTTACCTTGAGTATTCCCCCTACTTTAAAGCAAAATCTGATTCTAACTCCAGAGTGCTGTGCCTTAAAAATATAAAAGTACGATTATTCCTCTGACCCTTCTGATGATTAGTTTCTATTGAGTAGGACCAGATTAGTTCCAAAACTTAATTTAAAAAAAAACAAAACAAAACAGCCTCACTTACCTTTTTTAAGATGAAAACTCGGATCAGTACAAACAGCATGCCAGACATGAAACCAGACAACAGTGGAGATATAAACCAAGAAGCAACTGAATAATTTAAAGAAAGGTATAATGAATGTTAAAATGCTACATAGTTCAAGTCATATTTATATAACACAATCGCAGCAAATACACACACATTAATAAATATTGCCAGAACTATTCATGGCCACTCAGGCCCCTATGGAACACTGCTGTGCGGACGGAACCGGCCCTCAGCAGGGACACGGGTCCAAGGGCGTTCACACGCAGTTCCAAAGAACTGCCCGGCCCCTGCACACAGCCCACCATGGAGGGGACCCTCGGGCTCTGGATGCAGAAGATGGACTCGATTCCCACTGAGCCCCTCTGCCTGCTCTTCTTATCAATCCGTGTGCAGACCTGGTCCTTGTCCCAGCGTGGGGGTAAGTGCAAAGGTGGGCCACCTTCCATTTCGTGTGCCAAGTCCGGCCTGGCTGTCCCCCTGGCACTCTGAGCATCTAGCCTAGAAGTTTCCCAACTCTGGCTACACACTGCAAACGCCTGGGGAGTTTTCAAAAACCGGTTATACTCTAACTCTACCCCCAGAATTCTGATTTAAAAGTTTGCAATGGGCACTGGGCATTGATATTTTTCAACTGCTTCCCCAGGTAATTCTTGTGTGCAGACAGAGTTGAGAGCCGTGGTTTTAGAAGCCTGGGATCTAAAGTGACTTTCCTGGCCACCTGAGTCCCTGCTGAGCAGGTCATGGATCCGCTGGACCTACAGCCTCTGAGGCCGCTCTGATTCTTAAAAGAACGAGCAAGCCAGAGACGGAGATGGGAGAGGGCGTTTTTTACAGTGGGCGGGTTGGTTCTTACAGGGCCAAATGGATTTCCCTCTTACTAAAGCTAAGGCCAGAAAGCAAGTTGCCAGACCTCTTAAAACAGCCCCGGCTGGGCAGGCTGCAACCCGAAGGACTCAAGAGAGCGTCCTCTGCGTGGGGCAGACTGGTGTTCTCTTGAGTGCAGTGAGGTAAATAACCCTGGGCCCACTTCGAGGCCTTCCCATGACCATAAACCGGACTCCTAGACACTAAAGGTATTTTCCTCGTTAGGGGCTAGTTTTTCTTTGACTAAAGACTGATTTCATTGAGATGAACTTCTTTTCTGCCTGGGAACAACAAATAAATATTGATTTTTCAAAGCTGGATGACAATGTAACATTTGAAAAGAATGTTTGGTCCTAGCTAGTGTAGCTCAGTGGATTGTGTGTGGGCTGTGAACCAAAGGGTTACCAGTTCGATTCCCAGTCAGGATATATGCCTAGTTTGCAGGCCAGGTCCCCAGTAGGGGGTATGTGAGAGGCAACCACACACTGATGTTTCTCTCCCTCTCTTTATCCTTCCCTTCTTTCTCTAAAAGTAATTAAATAAAATCTTTTAAAAAAGTGTTTGTATGTAAAAAAATTCTCTAACACATAATAGTTCACAATCTCCATTAACAGAAATTTTAAGAGGAAATACGTTACCAGTATAGGTCTTCTAAACCTTAACATTTGAAGGAAGAAATATATTACAATGGTAACTTTTAATGAAACTAACTCTACAGAATGTAAACTTTTCTTCTTATAGATAAAAGAAAGTGGTAATTACCAATCTTGACAAGCTCCATCCATTGCACACCTTTTGTGCCAATTGCGACAAGTGAGAACCCTATAGTTGCACCAACGATGCAATGAGTCCCCGAGATCGGAAGTCTCAGAAAGGATGCAATCAGCTGCCAAACAGCTGAACCTAGAGGTTGAAAGATTAAAAAAACAAACAAACAAAAAAAGTCAGGTACAGAGTACAGCGTCTCAAACAGCCACAAAAGGAAGAACGACAAATCCCTCTCCTCCCTAACAACACTCCCTGGCGTTAGCTCTCTGTGGGTGGAGTCTTTACAAAGTGCTAATGTCCTGACAAAATTACTCAGTGAACTTCAGTCAAATAAAAAGTCTTCAACACTGAAGGGATAGTGATGATTTATTTAAAGAAAAGTATTTAAGAAAAATCTCTTGATGCCAGTTATTAACTGCCTTTGTCACCTTTAGGTAAGGGAGCTGATAATGAACTTGTTCTGATGTGAACTGTGGCCAGAATCAAGCAAGAAATTAAGGACCTGAATAAACAGAGAAGTAACAAAGGCTGCATACTGGAAAAGATTTCATAGCAGCTATGCCTTGAAGTCACCTAATAAGGAGGGCTAAAAGTCAGCTGTGCCAGACTAGTCTGTGCAAGACATAGTTTAACACCACTTTGCTGTGTCATTTTTGCCTCTCACGTGAGAAGGAACTGCGACATTTAACCCGAAGCTGGTCATCTGCTCTCAGCCCCTGCCCTGAACGATGGATCTTTTCCTTGTTGGTTTCCTCAAACCTTCTTATTCTTAGGAGTCCAGAGGATCCCTTAGTTGTGGCTTTGTGCCCTTTACCTTAATTTCACCATTCTTTCTCAGGCTTAATGTTTTTCTGGGCTATAGTTCGCTTCAGATATTTTCATAAGCAGATCGAATTTTCCCGTGAGTATTGAAAGGATCAGAGGGGAGAGATCACTTTCAGACACAGTTGTTGAAAAGTTCATATAGAGAACAAAGACTCTGGCCGATAAGCAGGGCCCATGATTAATCCCAAATGTTAATTCTGGAAATCTGGTTGCTTGGCAGCAGCAGCGCTTTCCAGCAGTCCCTTGGCATTTTCTTCAAAAACATTGAGTTACAGAGGGTCACTGAAGGCTGTGCAGGTCCTGCTTCGTGAGCAACGCTGACAGTTGCTCCGTGAGCGCTGAGCGAGCTGTGACCCCGCGTCTAAACCTGAGCGTGTGCTGGGAGGAGAAGGGGCCAGCCCCGCGCTGCCAAACCGGCCCGGCAGCACCCAGGTTTCCCGGCAGACAATGCCTTAGGCCTTCACAGGGACTGTGCGGTTGTTTCTAAAAGGAGAGCCAGAGTTGGGGGCATGTTTCACGGCATAGAGTCGTAACTTAAAAAGTAAACTTTGTGATTCCTATCCTTACAGAAATTAAAATATCCTAGTGATGTTAAGAGAATGGTATAAACTCACCCACATGGATTCAGACCATGAGATTTTTCCCTCTGAAAGCTGTGACTTTTCCTCTGGCTGACTTTGTGACATAAGTCCTGGAGCAGCAGGGTTTGTGAGGAAAGGCAGGGGGCAGGGGGCTGGGGGCTGCCCGAGAGAGGCAAGGAGGGAAAGGAAGAGTGCCCGCCCACCCGTGGGGAGGGGTGAAGGAGCGGCTGAACGGAGAGGGAAAAGGAGGCAGGTATTTGCGGGGACCTAGCAAAATGAGAGAGGGCAAGAGGCCTCCTTAACCTCGGGAATTTCTGAAGACAAATGGGATTACATTCATGTTAAGAAAAGAAGTGGGGAAAAGAAGTATATTTTAACCTAAACTCATGATAGGCTACTAAAAGGGGTGGAGCACAGGCTTAAGGGTATAAGACAAAACCTGGGGAAAGGTTGGGGGAAATGGGCACCCCTGGGACAGCGGGTTCCTGGGGAGGTGAAAGGGCAGAGAGAGGTCGGGGCCACCAACAAGGCAGAGGCAGGTGGGAGTGCGCACGGGGCGGGGGAAGGCTCGGCGCTCACGGGCAGAGAGCAAGCTGCAAGGGCACCATGCGCTGCTCAGGGTGGCTCAAGGAGATGGCTTTTTCATGCTGTTGTGGGTACTGCCACAGGAAGATGGTGACTTGGGAATTCTCAGTAGATTTTTGGAACCATTGATGGTTTCATACTAAGTGGATTGACTATTGCTTTAGGGCTGAACTAGAGTCCCAAAAGATAACTTGTTCAAGTTTAGCTGGCATGAACAATTTCTTCCGCTCAACCAACCAATGCCACCAAAACTCTATCAGAAAGCACAGAGACCCATGGGCTTGGGGAGAGGTTTCTAAAGAGAAAAAGAGACAAAATAAAATGAAATAGAGTAAAAAAATAGGAGGAAGAGAGGGAAAAAAAAGGCATGGATGGATAATTTAGCAGAGAAAGATAGGGAGAATTTGGACATCTGAACAGAATCGGTTCTGATTTGGGCCAATAATAATTATACCACCATCTCAAATTTACATAATAATTATACCACCATCTCAAATTTACATAGCTCCCATTTGCAAGGAGCCCACTTGTGAAAATCTAGGTAACCCATATAAACTCCCAAGAAAACAGGCTTTGAGATTCCTCTAATGACACACACTCAGCACACACACACACACACACACACACACACACACACACACACACACAGGAGGAGGAGGAGAATAAGAAGAAAGAAACCAAAGCAAACAAAATCAAGTTATTCAAGCAAAACCTCAAATTACTTTGGTTAACCTAAATTCTAGTTGAGGTAAGTATTTTTCATTCTTTCAGCAAAGGGCCAAAGGCAGGGGTGGGAAAACCATCCACACGAAAAGTCAGTGGCCACATCAGCTCAGCGCACAGGGCTTGCTGCTGAACTGAGGCCTCCGAGGCTGCACTCCCAAATCTCTTCCCCGGGCACCGCCGAGTCTCAAGTCTCACCCAGCTCAGAGGAAAAGCTTCTGTTACTATTTAATTTTACCAGTTTTTCTTTGCTTCTCCCTTCCCTTCAACATATCTTGCGCACATCATCCTGACTGAAAAAAGAAATCTTAATTTCAGGTCGATGTGATTATGTCTTAGGTATCTATCACAGCTATTCAAGGGTGAATTTTACAAGTAAATGTTATTTTTCTATGAGAATTTTCCATTACATGTGACTATGATAAAGATATGTGTTCACTGAAGTTAAGTAAAATCCAGTCATTACAATAGCTGTTGGAGTTAAAGCACCAGCGAATCCTACATCTAACACACAGAACGTTAGGCTGAGACAGGGGAACCCCTCAGCATGGGTCACCAGCCTGGTAGGCACAGCAGGATTTAATACCTTCTTAGTACACCACCAGTCTGCTTCAGGTCAAATACCTCAACAACTTCTCCAACTAACTTGCTGGAAGAAAAAGATAACAGATCATCTTAAATTTGGCAAATAATTTCCATATCCTGGGTGTTTAAATAATGCCAGTGACAATAAATAACTCAGAACCTGTGGGATGGAGCTGTGTTCTTGGTACACCAGCATCTCACCTCCTACTGCAGGACTCTCCCTACAAAAGGGTATGTCCTGTTGAAAGCACAAGGTGGCAGAATTCCTCTCTAGCCCCCTTCTCCCTAACCCAATGACCCGTATTGATCAGCTGTCTGCTGTGACGTCATCTCTACCTAAGGCAAGCCGAGCAGGAGTCCTGTCAGCTGCACTGAGCCATCTCTGCCCGATCCCCTTCTCAGCCGCAGCGAGGCAGTGAGGGAAGGGCCCACACCGCTGCGGTCTGCGGTCAGTTTGGGCCACGGAGGAAACGCACTGGCTGGCCAGTCAGTCTCTTATTAATACCCTTCACTGCCTTCAGCACTTCGCTCTCATCTGACAACCTGAAACCACCATAAAAGTCTACTATAAACAGGTGACATGCCAGTGACCTGTGACCGGAAGACAAAATAAATGTACCAAACGGAGCTCCCGGAGTAGAATCAGAAAATCAGCCCAAAAGCCAACAAAAAAATTACAAATAATGCAGAAGACCAGAATTTCTTGAAACGAACACACTGAGAATACAAGTTAAATGAATAAGTATTATTTTATTGGCATCCAAGTTTTCAAAACATTGCGCCCTAACTGACTTTTAAAAATCTAAGAAAAGAAATAAACTGTAGAGGAAATCTCTTAAGCAAATCTTTCAAACATACTTTCTTAGACTTGCTTTTTCTCTAATAACTTTGAAACAACTTGAAAATGACAAAGAGCCGCCCTTCAAATGTCTGTCTGTAAACCTCAGGGAAAGTACTCAGCTGAAATCTATTTTAACCAAGTTTGCTAAAACTTTGAGAAAATGTGTTTGCTTGATATTTGAACACACACACACACACACACACACACACACAAATAACCAAATTAAAAGAGAAAGTAAATATAAGATACAGCAACTATAAAACATCACACCCAGTTTTTACAAAGCTAAAGCAAAAATCACACCTATGCACATGACAAAAGCACTCTGGAGAAGACGGTCAGTGCACACACTTCCCACAGGTGTGAGGAATAATGCTACTTACCAACCATTGCACTAACTTCCCCAGCCATTAGTGTTTCTATTGTGTTGTTGTACAGGTTCACATCGATGATACCTTTCCGGATGGTCTCTCCTACTTTGGCTCCCAACAACACTGAGCCTGTGGTTTCAAATACTGAAGCCAAAATGCACGCCTGCCTCAAGGTCACCACGCCGGAGCCCACAGCGGTACCAAATGAATTGGCAACATCATTTGCACCAACGGAAAATGCCAAAATAAAAGCTATGATAAAACCTAAAATGACCATCCACAAATATTCATTCAAGGCCATTTTGAAAAGTGGACTCTGGGTACTTTTCTTTTGCAGAAATATTTTCAATAAGCAAAGCTTGAGGTTATAAACGTCGTAAGGCTGAGAGTTCTTGTAAACAGTGAGTTTGCTCTGGAAAGTGCTGGACAATGTTAGAGCCTGAGCAAACTGCTAACTGCTGGTTTTCAAACTACTGTCAGTACAGTTCATTTGGCTGTGTTCAGTCAGCGGTAAAACACATTCCATATTTTTCCTCCCGATCTGGGAAAGCTGGGATGTCTCCTTCTGTAACAGAAAGAAAACAAAAGAAATCAATTACCCTAAGAAATGAGTAACAGTTTGTTCTTTCAGAAATAAACATTTTTTTAAAAATTTATTTATTTGTTTTTAGAGAAAGGGGAAGAGATGGCAAAGAAACCACAATGTGCAAGAGATACATCAGTCCCCAACTGGGAATCAAACGGACGACCTTTCTGTTCACAGGCCGGCACCCAATCCACTGAGCCACACCTGCCAGGGCCAGAAATAAAATTTAAGCTTCTGTTTTAAGCCTACTAATGGGATCTAACTTTGGCATGTAACAGAACTGACCATAAAACAACTCAAGGAACAAGATAATTAGGTTAACTAATGCCCCCCCTCACTCCAAAAAAAGAAAAAAATCTGATTACTAGAATATCAGAAGCTGAAGCATGCTTTAGAATTACAAAACTGATAGTAAGCCTTAATGGGATACATTTTTATACTATCTAAAAAATATATTTGGTCAGTATTTTCAGAAAGGAAAAACTGCCTCCAATGAACAAAAGACGAAGAAATGAGAAATCCAGAGTTAAAATCTTTTTCAAATATTAGAACGTGCAGAATGTCTCAGCGCAGCGATCACCAAACCTGGATGTGTGACGCCGAGGGCGTGGCTGACCATCCCCGCCCCCCAGCAGTTACCCACAAGGGGCGGGCTCTCTACACTGTGGCTACTTCATGTGCGTCTGAAAGGAAGTTTGCAGGTTCTGGTGCACAGTGACTCATCCAGAAGGTGACAGAGGCCAGAGTGGACAGGCCTCGCAAAAGGAACAAGGAAAGCCGGTGAATGAAGCTGTCCTATTAAAGCACGAGTTGGGCCAGGCCACTCCACTCCTTCCCATCTTGCAGAAGAAAAGCCCGAGGCCTGTAAGACGCTCCAACTCTTCACAGACACCCACTCCCGGCTCGCTGACCTCAGCTCCTGTTCACCCTCTCCCCTCACTGGCTCCTTGCTTTTCCTTGCAAACATTAAGCACTCACCTCAGGGCCTTTGAACCTGCTGATCAATCCATTTTCCTGCCAGGAAAAGTCTGACAGTTGCACAGCTCACTCTTCACTCTATTTAGGTCTCTGTTCACATGTCACCATCAGAGAGGTCCCCTGACCTTGTGAAAGAGCGGCCCCTCCCCCATGCCAGTTTCACCCCTCTCACCTTCTTTCCTACTCATTCACTCATTCATTCATTCAGCGCCTGTCTTCTCTCACTAGGGTGCAGACACTTGGTCGGATTGACCATCATGTATCTCCAGTCCATACAATAGTACCTGGAGCCCTAGCACTAATGTGGTGAGCCCTAACAAATTGGTTGAATAAATGAAGAAAGAAGCTGTTAATCAAATGGAAAAAAGTCTTGCATATCGCTCATTCTGAGATGACGAGGAGATATCATAAAATTAATATGTATCTAAAAAGTAAAAATGTCACTTAAAGCTTTGGAATTCTGGTATTCTATTTTTTTTAAGATTCTATTTATCTTTAGAGGGGAAGAGAAGGAGAGAGGGAGAGAAATATCAATGTATGGTATTCTCTCATGCGCCCCCTATTGGGGACCTGGCCCACAACCCAGGCATGTGCCCTGACTGGGAATCGAACCACAGTTGTTTGGTTTGCAGGCCCATAATAAATCCACTGAGCTACACCAGCCAGGGCCTGGTGGTATTCTATTATTATACAGTACTAAATCTGTGTATTTTCTTTGATGGTATTAGGTACATAGATGGTATTAGGTACCTAGCACAGTGTGGTATTCTTCACAAATGCTTCCTAAACTGAATAAACTAGGCTCATATACAATACAATGATCAATCAACATTAAGGTTACACAGGGGGATAAAAGCAGGACACAAAATTTTACGTACATTGTGATTATGGTGATGTTATTACAAATGCATATAAAAAGACCAGCAGTGGTTGAGTTTGAGTGATAGTGTTATAGATGATTTTTTCCTTTCCTCCAAAAACTATATATTGTGGTTATATGCTTTTCAAATTAAAATAATACATAGTAAAATAAACTCAGACTGAGCACCATCTCTGTGTACAATATTGCACGCACACAATAATATAGAAACACACCGACACATCCGATTGTTTGTAAGAGCCATTCTGGAGATTCTGGCCTCGAATGAGGCAAGTTGAAAGACCCCTCTCCAGGCAAAAGATAGTATTTTATTAGTATCATGGGCATATTAAGTCTAATATTAAGTGAAAATACAAAATAAAAAGTATATTGGACCAAGAGTACCTATACTAAAATATAAAGAATTCCTGAGGAAATTGTTTGTTAGGTTAGGTTGCCAGTAGGGCAAACAAGAACCACACTCAACACCTGGGTGGTGTAGCTCAATGGATTGAGCGCAGGCCAGTGAACCAAAGGGTCGCTAGTTCGATCCCCAGTCAGGGCACATGCCTGGGTTGTGGGCCAGGTCCCCAATAGGGGGTGCATGAGAGGCAACCACACATTGATGTTTCTCTCCCTTTCTCCCACCCTTTCCTCTTTCTAAAAAAATTAAATCTTAAAAAAAAAACACTCAATAAATATTTACTGAGAACCTCCTTTGTGATAGTCACTGGGAATACAATGAGTAAAAATGAGGCCCTGGCACATACGGGGCTTACAGTCCAGGGAGGGAAACAGACACTCACTGGTGAAACTCAGTGTGTGACTGCAAACTGTGGTAAGTACTACAAGGCAGGAGTACTACAATCATCGTGCTCCCATGATTTCGCACATCATCACGGGAGCACAGATGCAGGGCAGGGTAGGCTCACCTGCAATCTCGGGATGGGCGAGTGAACTCTGGGACTAGATGGGGCATTCCAGGCATTTCCCAGGTAGACGGAGGTGGGAAGGAGTGGAATGAGGAGAGGCGTCTGGGGGCAGGCCAGTGTGAGGAAGTCACAGTGCCACTTAGGCTGGGCCATAACAAAGACTGTGGCCACCATGAGAACAATGGGGTGATGCCGCAGGGTTCTAATCAGAGTAAAAGTCCTGCTCAGACTGATATTCTTAAAAGATTATTCTGGCTGCGACATGGAGAATGAGCTGGATAGAAGTGGAGTGAGAATGTAGAGAGACTAATTACGAGGCTACAGCCTGGTTCAGGCACCAGGAAGGTCTCCTGGACCCAGGGATGGGGGTGATGACTTCAGGAGGTCCTTCAGTAGTTAAAGTCAACAGGACTTGGTAATGGTTTGCACCTGGATGTTGAGAGGGCATAGACAGTCACTGACTTGTGGAACTGGACTGTAGAATATGAGTGTTTTGTCTCCTTTGTACTGTTTTTAGGTGTTAGGATGGGGAGTGACAACAGGCTCCCTTTGGACACACAGAGGTAAACCACAGGAGCACAGATGGGAAATGCGGTTGGCTGGGGCACCCGAGCAGATATGCCCCTGGCCCAGTGTAGCTTGGGGAGCGTTTTGATCATCTTTACAAATTTGGGGGGGCACCATTTCAGACAAGGGATTCCCTCTCCTAGTTAGGTAATCTTGAGTAATTTATATTTCCACAGTCACATCTGTGTTTATTAAATTGGCTTTTCTCTTGCACATTAATACCCTTGGTAACCAGCTCAAGTCCAATAAGCATCTGGCTGAGGAGAAAGGCTTGTTGTTGGAACTACCCTGCCTAATTTCAGAAGCTGTAAGCCCCCATGGCTAAGGCTCAGTGAGAGACCTTGGGACCCTAAACCACTAAGTAGACAAAGCTTATCCCCCTGGCAGGAGCACCACCTCTGCTCACTTTAGTTCATCCTGCCTGGCCCCCAGTGCAGGACTGGTTAGCCAATGATGGGTAAGATTCCTTAAGGCAAGGACGACCTAAGACAGGCATGGTCACGAGGGGGCCCTCAGGGAAGGACTTGAGGGGCTACAGAAAAAGAGGGTGATGGGACTTCTGGCCAAGATGGAGGCATAGGTGGAAACACTGTGCCTCCTCACATAACCAAGTTTAAAGACAACAAAGTTTTAGTAACAAAAACGCAACCAAAAAAGAAAATTGAACTGTACAGAAGTCCAACAACAATAAATCATGCAGCCAAACCAGTGAGACGGGCAGAGTCAGTGGCTGGCAGAGCGAGGTTGCTCAGGATAAAGCAGCCAGACCAACCCAGGTGTGCAGGTGGCAGATGGCAGATCACAGGTGTGGGGAGGGGCAACGGGCGGAACCAGTGAAGGCTCAAGGCGGCTGGCTGACCTCGGTCACACATTCGCGTGCAGATAAACCAGGCCAAGGAGTAAGCAGTGAGACAGACTGCATAACCCAGGGCCCCAGCGACGGCAATTAAAGCCTAAAAGCACCAATTGGAGAAACTTTCGGGGTCGAGGTGCCCGGATAGGCTCCCAGGCTCATAGAGACTTTGTTGGAGAGACCCGCAGGCTCCTGGAGGGTGCACAAACCCCCACACCCAGGAGCCGGCACCAGGGGGGCCCAATTTGCTTGCAGGAGGCAGTAGAGGGGACAGAAATCTGAGAGAGAGCAGAACAAACGCCATTGCTCCTCTCTGACCCCACCCCCACATACAGCATCACAACCCAGCGACTTGGGTGGCCCTGCCCTGGTGAACAACTAAGGCTCTGCTCCTCATACGTACAGGTGCGAACAGACCAAAACATTATGGCTCAGGAAGAACAGCTTAAAGCCCCAGAGCAAATACTTCTAAGCGACCAAGAGATAGCCAACCTATCAGATGCACAGTTCAAAACACTGGTGATCAGGATGCTCACAGAATTGGTTGATTTTAGTCACAAATTAGAGGAACATATGAAGGCTAAACTAATTGAAATGAAGGGAAATGCACAGGAAGCCAATAGTGATGGAAAGGAAACTGGGACTCAAATCAAGGGAGTGGACCAGAAGGAAGAAAAAAATGACCAAACAGAAAAGGATGAAGAAACAAGAATTCAAAAAAATGAGGAGAGTCTTAGGAACCTCCAGGACATCTTTCAATGTTCCAACATCTGAATTATAGGGGTACCAG